GGGGGGGGGGGGGGATGCAGGGGGGAGACACACAGTTCTGGGCACCCTTGCTGGTGAGGGGAAAAAATAGAGACACTACACTCAAGCTAACAAAACGACTTAAATCAGAAAGGGCTGCAACATGAGGGTCATTTTCATCTACTTTTAACTAACCCGAGGCCTTGAACTTTCTAGCTTTCCAGTTGTGTGTCAACGCCCAGCCGGACATAAACCCTGTAGACAACCCTCTGAACCGGGGGATGGTTTGGCCAGGAGAGCACTGCTGGCTATGATGTGTGCTTCCCACCAAGCAGGGCGCAGGCTATGGCCGGGTTTGGCAATGCGGTGCTGGCAGCGGGGGCAGTGGAGGCACTGCCTGCCGGATGGGCCCCCAGAGAGCGGGACCACGGCAGGATGGTGGAGCAGGTGAGGGGGGCAGGCACCAGGCCAAGGTGGGGTGCCAGGTGGGGCTGCAGGCTGGGGGCACAAGCTCCGCAGGCCACCCCAAGGGACCCCGCCCGTGCACAAATTCGTGCACCCGGACTCTAGTTTTACTATAAAAACGCTCAACATTTTCTTCAAAACACTCTGGGTATCTCTTGGTAGTATTTCCAGAATTGCAGTTCGCTTAAGACCCTTGAATAAAACTTTGTTATTTAATTCTAACGAAGCCCCTGGTTTGTTCACGGTGAGGGGAGACGAGGGGAGGTCGGGGCAGCGTCTGTGAATCGGCTTTCTCCGATTCCTGAACCAGAAAAGCCTGTGCAAACTCGGACCCGCAGGTCCCCTGACCACTGACCGTCGCTGCTGGTTGGTCAACCCACCCGGATCTCTGAACGTGGGCTCCATTCTTATGTGGTGTTGCCTGCGAACAGTTTTCTCTCGGCCACAGTGACAGCGACTCTCCCAGGCCCATTGTCCAGGGGTAAACCCTTTTCTACGTTCCAGCCCCACTCTTCTCCGGCCTCGACTATCAACAAACTTCCTCTCGCTCTTCCCGCTCCCACCTTCCCTTCCGTCTCCTCCGTTTACGGGTTTTCTCTAGAGATTTCCAGTTCCAGTAAGCTTGGGTGCTTTCTGCGCGTAGTTGCGCCCAGCAAATGCTAAGTTGTCCTTTGGCTGAGTGACTGCAGACACCGGGCTCAGAAAGTGTGAGGTGGGAGAATCAGAAATAAACTTGGGTGCGGGGATTTGTACGAGTAAGAGAATGAGTTGCAGAGAGGAAGTGCAGTTCGAATAAGGACCAAAAACAAAACAAGGTCCCACCGAGATTTGAACTCGGATCGCTGGATTCAGAGTCCAGAGTGCTAACCATTACACCATGGGGCCCGGGTGCTGGAGGCGTCACCTAAACTCTGTGGTGACATAGTTCCTTCTCCCAAGCGCCCTGACCTAGGCATGAAGGTCTGGCTGTCTGCTCGTCCTTCTCTAGGATCCGGTGGTGGGCGATTACCGGTCACCTGCCGGCCAACACTTTGTACATCGGGGACTCTGGGAAGATGCGTAGGGAGAGGGAGCGTCGGACACCAGGCCACCTTCCCCGGTGCTTCCTCCCGGGCGTGTGGGCTGCTGGTGAAACCAGTCTTCATATACGTGGGAAGAACAACCTGTTAAGGACTTCCCTTTGCGCCGTATCTCCTGTTGATTTAAAAAGTAGATTAGTTGGTGCTTTGGAAAGACCATTTAAAATGGAATAAGCTTTTTAAGAAGTTGCCAGCTATCCTTTTCGCTTCTTTTCTTTTTCCACTTTTGAGTCCTTGGCCCCCTCAGCTCTGTGCTCAGCCACTGCCCCGGGAGGAAAGAAAAGGAAACATGTCGGGGACACGTCGAATTTAGGGGCACTGAGCTGGGTCATGAGTGGATTAAAGGATAGCAAGAGCGATGGACTCGAACTTTGAGAACATGGCACGGAATAGGTTGGTCTCTGCTTTTTACCGGTTAAGAATCGAGTTTCTCTAAACATAAACACACCTGTGGCCTTTATGGGAATCAAACCCACATTCTCTCTCATCATTGATGTTTCTCTCTCTCCCTCTCCCTTTCTGAAAGCAATAAAAATCTATTTTAAAATGATTTATTGTGTGTACTAGGCATGGTGTACTAGGGTTTCATAGATTTACAAAACAGGGCACTACATCTCTTGGAAATTATATTCTAGTGACAGCGACAGAGAAATCGAGCCATCGTGCAAATTAACACAAAATTTGCAATGAGAAGGGTATAGTGCTGAGAGAAATATGAAGATTGATCTAGAAAGTTGGGAAGTTCTTTCTAAAAAAGTGAAGATTGAAAAGACGCTAATCAGTAAAGAAGAGTATTTAAGGAGGGACAATAACGTGCACAAATCCATGGTAAAGTAGAGAGATTGCAAACAGGACAGTGTTGGAGAGAAAGCAGCTGTGAAATGTGAAGAGGAGGCTGAAGACAGAGTCGGGCCATAATCCTCAGGGTGACATAATAAATAAACATAAAAACACGTAGGCAGCCAAAACCGGTTTGGCTCAGTGGATAGAGCGTCGGCCTGCGGACTGAAAGGTCCCAGGTTCGATTCGGGTCAAGGGCATGTACCTGGGTTGTGGGCACATCCAGGGTGGGGGACGTGCAGGGGGCGGCTGATCGATGTTTCTGACTCTCTATCTCTCTCCCTTCCTCTCTGTAGAAAATCAATAAAGTATATTTAAAAAAAACACGTAGGCAACTGATAGCTCTTTTATCAACAGCACACACCACAGTCTCTGCCTCGGATCCCTTTGTCCTCTCAGAGCACACAGAATTGGAGACCTGGTCTGACCCAATCTCGGTATAGAAGAGCTACATTTCTCCCAAACGATTTGAGAAAACGCGCGGGAATTCGGGTCCTGTGAACCCCCTTTGGCGGTCTCGCTGGGCAGCGGGAACCCGGGTCCCCTGTCCCCTGCCCCCGCGGTGCGGTGCCGGGCAAACGCGGGCGCACCAGCAGTCGGACGTGAAGTATTTCCCCGATGGGGTCGAGCCCGCTTTCCAGCCTGCATTTAATCAGATAGAAACAGTTTGTCCCGTATCTCAGGCTTTTATAAAAATTAAAAAAAAATGTGAACCAAACGCACACATCGCCAACTCCAGGTACCGTGAAACGATTTCCTGCCCAGAAAACCTCACTCGGCCCGGCTGATGCAGGGCGCGCTGTCCATGGTCCTGACCCCGGGAAGCGTGCGCCTCCCTCCTGGCCACCCAGGGATCGCCGCCTGCCGGGCGCGCACCTGGAACCGAGTCCGAGGCCAGTCCCTGGAAAGGTCGGGCGGAACCGCTGGCGGTCACCACACCCAACCGGCGAGGCCTAGACGCCGGGCTCCCTGCGTGTCTGTCTCGCAGACTCACCTCCATCACACACCCAAGCAAACACACCCGCACCGCGGGGCCATCCCAGCCGGGACCGGTCTGGGCTGAATGGAACGGAAAGTGAACCTATTGACGCCGAGCTTCTCGGCGCCCAGCTGACGACTTCTGGCCGCGAGTGGCCGCAGCACCAGGAAGTCTCGGCCAGGTGACCGGTCAGGCTCAGGGCCCAGCGCCTGGGAAGTCCAGGTGTGAAGACGCAGTTGGGCTCAGCTCCGCCCAGATCTGGAGACGCGGTCGGACTCAAGCACTTGCACCCGGAAGCCTGATTTGGAGTCGAGGGTTGGGCTCTGGTCCCCGCACCTGGAATCCTTCTGCCTGGTGATGGAGGTCGTCCTTAGGTCTGTCTTTCTTTCCTTTTTTCTTTCTCTCCTTTCTGTCGAATCTATTCATCATCAACTGTCTACCTAGGATCTATCCATCTGTTATCTATCACCCACTATCTATCCTCCATCTACTACTCTATTACTTATCTATCGATCATCTGCCATCTATCGACATATCATAAAAGGTCTTGGACCCAGATGACATAAAGAATTGCTAAAGTGCAATGCTAAGTGGGAAGGATCTAATTTTTAAACATAATTTGGTGGAGCTGGAGTTGTGATTCTTAGAAAGTCTCTGCATAAACTCCCAGGTTGACAGCTTGAATGAGGACGTGGTCTCAGCGGTGCTCCTCTGAGGAGGACTTTTCGGAAACCTCGAAGGCTTAGGCATTGAGAGGAGAAATGCAAATACAAAAGACCTTAAGCAAGGGTTGTCTCCGCCCGGGACCTTCCGCGTGTCAGGCGAATGTGATAACCACTACGCTATGGAAACACCATGCTGAATGCTTGCTTTACGGTATAGCGGAGTCACATACTTACTTCCTAGGTGTCCCCAAAACTAATACTTTTGAATGATTTTTCTTTTAGTACATTTTCATTCACAGTGCATTTTTTCTCACATTTCTTGTTAAAATATAAAAATATGGATATTCTATGACTCATAATCAAATGTAACTCAAAACCTGAGTCCAAAATTCTCCAAAACTAGGCAGGGTGGCATTGTCACCTTTTGAACTTTTAGGGGGTTTTGTTTTATTTGCTTGTAACTCAGTTGGGTGTAAAGTAGTACTGTGGTTTTAATTCACATTTCTCTAGTGACTAAACAGGTTGGTCATCTTTTTGGTCTGCTTACTGACCATACATGTATTTTTTTCTTTGTTTTTTTATACAGGTATTTTTTAAATTGAAGTGCTTATTCAAGTGCCCACTTGCCATTCACTCATCTTTTTATTATTGGTTTCTGGGATTTCTTTAAATAATCTGGACCCAAGTCCTTTGTCAGATATGTGTATTATGCACCTTTTCACTCACTCTTCCACTTGTCTTTCCATTTCTTAAGGATGCCTTTTAATGAGCAGAGCATGAAGCAGGCAGGACATGGGCTGAGGGCCAGAGAGAGACCTGCAGAAGGCGCCCGCCTGGCAGCAGAGCAGAATGTGAGCCAGAATCTGATTAGTGGGAGGAGGGCACCAGCATGAACAGTGACATTTCTCTGAAATTTGCCATTAAAATAGCGACATCCACAATGAGAATAATCACCCAGTTATATTTGCAGAACTTCTTGTCTGTAACAGAGCTGTTTTAGCTGGGAGTGAGGATGGTTGCATACACAAGTCAGTTATATGTGGAACAGCTGCTGAATACCAATTCCTGGGAATTTCCTCTTGGTAAACATGCTGCTTCCTCCTGTCCAGTGAACAAATATGTCCTGGTCTGCGGTGGGCTGCAGGGAGTGGCGAGGGTGCTGGGCTCAGACCCCAACCCTAACCAAGCTCTTCTGCGCCAGCTGGAGCCAGGTCTGCAGCTGCTGCAAGATGCTCTGTAAAGAGGTGGAAGAATTTTGAGAGTCAGATCCCAGTACTAGTGAGGGGAGGAGCATGCACATTAGTATGCAAATGAAATGTAAATCACCCAGGGCTTTTTGTTGTTGTCTTACCTGGCGCCCTAGGCGGAGGCTGGGGGTGTCTGAGGACCGCTCAGGTGCCATATCCAAGCAGTGAGAGGCATTGGGGATGAGAAGGGCTGACACGGAGGGCCCCAAGTCCTGAGTGACACTCAGCACATGCCAGGGGTCCATATCCCCTGGGAAGAAAGGGGAAGTGGTGTGCTGAGCTGGGGCCTGCTGGAGACTCTGAGGTCAGGTTCTGATGGCATACTCACCATTCACGAACAGCACCTGGGTGCCCACTGGGGTCTGGCCGCCGTAGTAGGAGTTGGTCTGAGCCACAGCCTGGACTGTGGACCAGGTTGAAAGCCCAAACACCTGCTCACACAGCTCCAGCTGGGAGGGCAGTGCTGGGAGTTTGGAGAAAGGACATGTGGGGTCCTCACAGGTGACATCTGGAGGGAGATATCTGTAAGTGTGGGGTAAAAGCCCCACCCCCAGCCTCCTTCAGTTATCGCTGAGCTCTCCCAACAATGACCAATGAATTCACAGCCCTGTCGGAGAGGAACCTCCTGCCCCCCGGACAGTGATGGCCCAGAACGACAGGGCTGTGATGGACTGAAAATTAAAACGTTTAGAATGCTCCTGTCCTGCGTTAGCTTATCTGGACCAATAGAAATAAATGCCTTCCTTCTGCTGATGCAATTGTTCCCTTTCCTTTCTCATAAATAACCACTGCCTTTGTCTCATAATCGGAAAACTATTTAAGTTTCTGCCTGAATCAGTACTTCTCATACAGGTGATCTTATTGATCACAAACAAATGCTTATTGCCCATCACCGATCACTTCAATAGGCTTTTCTTTTTAAGGTTATCAGAGGAGGGTTGGGCCAGGCACTCACAGAAGCCGAACTCAGTGCATGTCTGGTACAACCACTGCCGGTCACCCACGCCGGACACTGGGGGTTCTGTGACCCTCAGCTGTGCCAACGTCTCTGCTCGGGAAAAGCTTAAACACCTCTGGCCCAGGCTGTGCGTGACAACCTGAGGGACAATATACACACACACACATACACTCATAAATGTCTCCCCTCCCACCTGCAAGCCCGGGTCTGGCAGCTTAGGTCCCTAAAAGTCAAAGGTGAGAAGTCAGAAGGGGGAGTGCCTGAGTTCTGGGAGTCAGTGGTCAGAGGGGGTGGGCGCCTCGGTCCCTGTGGGTTAGAGGCTCAGGTACTAGATGACTCGGACCTATGACCCGTGAGACCTTGGGCGAGTGATACTATCTTGGACCTCAGTTTTCTCCTCTGTAAGCGGGGATAGTAACAGTGCCCATCTCCTAGAACTACTGTGAGAATTCATTGAAGTAACACATGTGAAACACTTCATACAGCTCCCTGTGCAGATAGCGCTGTTTAAGTAACGGCTGGATCGCAACTGTGGATTCCGAAGGTGGGGGTTCTGGGCTCCAGAAGAAGTCTGTGCTCAGGGCTACCTATATTTTTTCTTTCAAGTCTAAGTACTAATTGACACTTGCTGTGTGCCAGACCCCGTATGAGGCGCCGAGAATAAGACAAAACAAGACAGACAGGATAGCCTCGTTGCTAATTTTGCATCGTGTGTGAGCCCATCGCAGGCCCCCTTCACGTCACCTCCCCAGGGCTCTGTGTCACCCCCATTTGACAGGTGAAGAGAACAAGGGTCGGAAAGGGTTCCAGGCTGCCCAGGACTGCACAGCGGGGTGGGCGGAGCCCTTGTCTATGGACTCGCCCACCGTGCTCTGCGGAGCTCACCTGCACCGCCCGACGCAGCCCGT